AGCGCGAGGAAAGTTTAGAGCTTGTTTCAAGTTTGTACCGGGAGTGGAGAGGGCTCGTACCTGTCCTACGCGGAGGCGAGTAAGCGGTCGCCCCTCGGGATTCCCTGACATCGTATTCAGATTTAACTTGGAGATGATCGGTGGCTTGGGACGAGGCGGACTCGTCCCGCATTTCTCCTTTTTCGTAGTTTAGACTTTCGTAGTATAGTTCTTTAGTAGTGTAGTGTTTGTTGTTTAGATAAACTTAAGTAATCTAGTCGCGCGTTTGTTGCTATGGTTTATTGCCACCTAGCGGGGTATCTGTCGGACGCGCCGGAATGGCCAACCGGCGCCAGGATGTGCAGGAGTAGGAGCAGGATTGTGTCGGCAGTCGAGCGAGCAAGGGGGTGCTGAGCCCACCGAGCCGCAACAACGAGGTTTACTCTATCGAATCGTTACTTGAACTCCTTCTGAGGATTGATATGAAAGTTTCAAAAATTCGTGAATTATGACCATCTCAAAAAGCATGGGTCGCAGACTTTGGTTATTTTCTGAAAGCTCATTGACTGTTTTGCAACAGTTTTATAAACATTAGAAAGAGAATGAAATTCTGCATCGAGCGCTACCAAGATCTCTTAGAAAGGTTTGTTCCATCGATTGTGGCAACCGTTTGAAAAAAGCGAAAATACTTTCGGGACGACCTAATATATCCATAAGAAAGAGAAGGAAAATCTGCATCAAATGCATGTTGAAACTCATCCAGGTCTTTGTTGTGCGTGGTTTTATAGCAGTTTGAAAAAACCGACAAAACTTTCGCGACAACCTAGTATGTCGGCCAGAGCTTGGATGATAGTCTCAAATATATTCAGTATCTGCGAAGTGTATGTTTGAAAAAAACACTATTGCGGAGCTGGAAGCGGCTTGACACGTCGAGATTGCAAGACTGCGGAGACCATAGTATTCGCGCTCTAATAGTGCCTTGCAGCAGACCGGTGAGGGCTCGCCCTGTTGCAGTCAATTTTACTTTCTTCTCAACGAAATGACGATAGAGACTCAGAAAAATTTCCAAATTGTTTGCTCAATCAGGAAGTAAATTGATTGGCCAGAAATTACAAACAAACAGTTTATACGTCTTTTTTTTGTGAAACCTCGGCAATTCAATAGTTATTCTTCACTTTCACTTGTGCCTAACAGGTTCTTATCTCTAGTATTCAAGCCGAAACGTCAGATACCAATAAAGTGTTTCTATGGGGACCTGTTACGGCACAAGTAAACTTAAAGAATAATTACACTTATCTCAAAAGCCCTTCCTTCTTGAGACCTGTACGGCACAGAACAGCTAATCTGCAAACTGGTTTGCCAAAAAGAAATTCGAGCTTCAAATTTCAGCTTTTAAAAATTCTGTACAATATTGCTATATTGTATTATATTAGGTTGTCCCGAAAGTTTTGTCGGTTTCTTTCATCGATCACTGAAACTCACAGAACACCAATCCATAGACAAGCTAGATATCATTTGATTCAGATTTTTATCTCTTTCATACATCTATATTTCCTCTCTGATTTACCCTGCCTTTGCGATGTTATCGCCATGGATTTTTGAGCAGCTTAGCAGTAATGCCAAATCTTTCCTGAATTTCAAAAATTTTTATACTAACGTTTTCAAAGAGCGCTGATAATTGTTATGTAGAGCAAACCTTTGGCTACATTGTGTTTATTTAAGATTACATGGGCCACGTTTACCAAGTCCGTTATAATTAATTATTTAATAAAAACCGCGACTTTTTGATTACATTTACCAAGTAAAAGTACCGAAAATTCCAAAAAGTTGCTTTTTCAAGGCAAATCATACTTGGTTATGTTGCATAAATGATCTTTAATAAGAATCATTTTTCAATTCTGAGAAACTTTGAATATTCCGTGAATTTGCTGCAGTTGCGGGTTTCATGACTTTGCCAAAAATCGAGACCTCTTAAGAAATTATTTTTTTCAAGGCATAAACAGCAGATTAGGAGAATCTAAAAATGTGGCCTTTTAGTCCGAGAATTGCTCTATTAGAATCATACTTGACCATATTAGAAACTTTAGAATGAATTTTTTAAAAATTATCCGATCTTTGACCAAATAAAATTGGTGGATGGAGAATTTTAACAAATATCGAAAAGAGCATACAAGATTGTGGCTCGAGAATCCATCCATAAGAAAGAGAAGGAAAAGGTGCATCGAATGCATGTTGAAACTCGCTCAGATGTTTATTGTGCGTGGTTTTGTAGTGGTTTGAAAAAACCAACAAAACTTTCGGGACAACCTAATATATTTTGTACAATATATGCTTATCATAATTTTTATTGTGAATTTTAAATTCAACATTTTGGAATTTTTATGCAAGTTCAATACCTGCCAGTGGCGAACCGAGGGAGGAAGGACTACCTTTTCCTTCCAAACAGAATGGATCGCGGAAACTATGAAAGTTGCTTGATATGTTACAAAAATGTGCAGATGACTTCTTTATATTTCTAAAAAATTAAAATGATTTTTGAAATTTTCAAAAACTCAGTTTAGCTTTGTAATAAATAAATTTCTGGGCGTAACTGCCGCCACGCCCCTATTTCTAGAATTTCGGGGTCATGGGCCCGCGAAAAATTGGGGAAGCACCCCAAAAAGCTTTCGGCTAGAGCCACGCACCTCCACCCGGAAAAAAATTTCGTTGCCTCTCCCCCGCCGAGCGAAAATCCTGGGACCGCCACTATACTATATAACATTAGGGAAACTAAGTTTTGCTACTTTCATAACCCAACTCTCTTCGGATATGGCACACTCAAACTTGGGCAGTATTAAGTGCGCAGAGTGAGCTACAATTGACTCAAGCTGTATGAATTTTGAAAACGAATTAGAAAAATTTCAGGCTTTCCGAAAACTAGTAAATTGTGAAAATTTGTGGGGTTTTAAGGCAAAATGAAGTTGTTGGCAGTTGGGACTAAGCGCAATAATCCGAAATTGTGTACCAATTGTTGCTAGAGGTTGACTTATTCGGCTCACCAAAAAAGAAACAAAATTTAGGGGTAAGTCGAGATTTGGCGCCCTCACAATTTCAAAAGAGTTGCTGTACGCAAGGCTGCTGAGGACAACCGTCAATGGCTAAGGAGTCAGAACCATACAATTCCCCGAGCTCTTACGTACCGAGTTCTTTGACCTGCTAAACACTAATATCATATTCATTTGTTGAATCAACGCCTCTTTCTTTGTTTAGGATGGGACCCTATATCGTACACCTACAGTAATCTTAGAAAAAGCCCTTATCACGCAACTTCAGTATCGTTTTCGTGATCAACATGTCGGATAACCTCCCTATGCCAGGTTTCAGCCAAAACTGTCGAATTTTATAATTTTTTTCTTCGTACCATATATATACCGTAACTCTCATTGCGACGTCCGAATTTGGTAGAACAGCAGCTGCGCTTATAGCTTACGTCATAACCAACCTAGTGACAAAATCTGAGTGTGCCATGTTGAGTGAGAAGAAAGTTATTGAATGAGTTGCAAAAACTAGTTTCCCACCTAATAATTAATAAGATATAATATAATGATATTTGATATAACATTTGATATTCTTCAATAATATTATATTTCTATAATAATTTGCAATTTTAAAAGGTTCTTGCTAAAGGATGAGAAGAACGACGACGACATCGCCAGAGACAAAAATTGACATGGAAGGTAAGATCGAAGTTCGCATCGAAAATCAGAAATCAGTTTGTCGTCGATGCAAATTGCCTGAAAAGAATTTTCGTCTTGAATGTGCGTATCAAGTATCAATAATCTTTGTTGGTCCTCCAAAAATCACGCCGTGTTTTTATCGGATCTTTGACACAATTCACTTCTCGCTTTCTCGCATTTCGAAACTGCGAGCCATAAAAAGAAAGCTGTAAAAAATTCTAAGCGTTGTTTCTCTCTGCTTCCACAAAACTCTATTCTACTCAATTTACGCCTGTTATTCTTCTCTATTCCAAACATACTTTTCAAAAGTAGGGACTCAAACACCATCACTCTTTGGGTTCTAACTCTAGATTATCAAGAATACTATGGTTAGTTTGCAGGAAGGTAAATTTGAATTCAGTAAACGAATGATGGGCTTGCGCCACACCAGGGCGGCATCATCAGTTCCTTGATTCTCTCAGTGTGATACTAGGCCAGGGCTCAGCACAGCTAGCACCGGGTCAAGCTGGATATCGTTTTTAGCGCGGAAAGCAAAGAGGATATCGTTTCTACAGGAGCCGTTGCGGAGAACTGCCGCAAAAATGCCGCCGGCATGCCACCGGCGTGCCATTGGCAAGCTGTCCATCAACAAACAAAGGCGTTGTTTTTAGCCAAAACGCAATAGTATGACACCAAATTTGGTGTATGCATGTGCGTTGGTAGACCGGAACTGCGGGCCAAAAATTTATGAAAACTTATGTGAATGAAAGCTGTGCCCAACTTTTTTCTGAATTAGCTGGCACCATGCCAGCTGGGTGCCAGCTGAGCTGGCACCGACACTTTGCTCACACAAGTTTTCATGCTTTTTTACATAAAATGTATCTACACTATAAAAGATTACATACGGAGAAGAAACAGTTTCATAATGTTCTCTTTTCAGCGTTTTATAGCAATTTGAAAACCACTCGGTCCGCTTCGCCGTCGAAAAATCGGCTTTTCTGCTTCTCAAGATGTGATTCGACCACTCAAAAAGCTCAGAAAGCTGTGAAAGGTTTTTTCATGAAATCAGAAATGCATGAAAACACTACTACATTTTTTTACATAATATAAAAATGATGATGGGTTTTCAAAACAGGTCAAAAGGGACTTCGTACGAAATTTTCAATATCAAACCGGACTTCGTTTTGAAATTTCTCTGGTGCCAGCTCGTGCCGAGCCCTGTACTAGGCTACTTGTTTCCATTCAAAGAATCAATTTCCCTAGGACTCTACGAAATCTAATTCACATGTGGCAGAAAGAACGTATTGGTTAGTGGTTGTCTGAATCTGAAATTTGCGACAAACGGTTGATATTTTATTCAATGCATATCAGGGCAAAATCATCAGTGTTTTTAGAGGTCGCGGATCTTCGTGACGGTGTACTGCTCGAAGTTCTGCCACGGCTTTGACCAAACCACAACTTTGTAGAGCTAAAATGGCTTTTTAGAGAATTGTTTATGGAAATTGACTGCGACTAACAGCTTTCATTGGATTTTCCTTCAATTGGCAGTTAGCCTGTGTCACTTCATCAGGAGCAATCTTCTGCAATCAGTAGTTAAATATGAATCAAGCAGAGTAAAAATTATTAGCACAAGTAAGCAAACCTCAAGCTATTAATCGATTGAAGATTTTTAGAATACTCCGCAAGGAACTTATGCGGATGAAGCTTGATATGATTAAGAATCTTCAGTAGTAGAGCACGGCATGATGCCCATGCATAATGCTTGAGAGAGCATAAACTAGTTTTTCCGTACTAATCCTACTTGCTTACCTCTTTTTCGCACTTTGATTCACCATAAACTACTTCCAGTATGTATTTGATACCTGCCACAACCTGCGTTTCGGCTTTGCGGACCTACAAATAATGGTTGAGAGCAAAATATAATTTTTCTCAAGATCGCTAAAATACTTCTTTGCTTTTGCTTGGGGATTAGAAAGACTTAGAAAAGCAGAGCGATTTTCAGCTGTACTGACTCTGAGATAGCTGTGATCACCTCAAAGTAATGAAACATCTGCTTGAAATTCGCACTAAAGAGTGGTCTAATCAAACTTCAATGCTTTCCGTTATATTTCAAGAACTTTTACTTTTGCGAACTTCGCTTATTGAGAATACGTGTGTCAAGGGAAACCTTTCTTTTTGGTCGCATTACCTCGACTGGAATCAAGAACACTTTCGTTGCTGCATCGGCTTGTTCTGCAATGGTTTTGACTGCTTTCCAAGCCATCTTCTGCAATTTATAATTAGTAGTTTTAATTTGTGCACAGTATTCTATTTTAATAGATAGTTAGTTCTATTAACATTAAAGGGAGTGTCTCGCCAAAATTGAGGCAGTGTGGATTTCCACATATTTCATTAGAGAACCCCTGGATAGGAGACCGTTCCAAGTCCGATCGATCCGGGCTCTTCTACACCGGGATATTTGCCCTTAAAGTGGCCTCAAAGCGCGGTTTGCCGCGAGCCCGCACGGCCGACGCTCTCGGTTTCCTTAGGCCCCGGACAGACTTCACGCGATTTGATCGTCGCGACTCAATCGCCGACATTTCCATTCATTTTCATTTCACATTCGAAAATTTCGGGCTGGAAAAGTATCACAACCGAATGCAAGTTGATCGGCATGGAATGATGCTGTAACAGTTGTCTCCTCGCGATTCAGTCGCGACGATCAAATCGCGTGAAGTCTGCCCGGGGCCTTACGCGTTTCAACATATCCCTTCACTTTACGTCCACCTCCATAGTGTTGCTGCCAATGTGGCGAAGGCTAGACTGAAAAAGCACAACTCGTCCGCTTTGATTCAACAGGGCCTTCAAAAAACAGGGTTTTTGTGTTTTTTATGCGGTTTTAGACCCGAATTGAGTTAGACAGGGACGAAAAGGCTTGCGCTATGCAAAAATCTCGACAAGCAAATTTTGGTGAGACACTGCCTCTAGGAAACCTTCTACTAAACTGACCATATACTCAGGGTTACTGGCATCTTGCTCTGTTTTTCCTCCCACTAAAGGCACATCTTCTGTTGTTCCTCCCATTAAAGGCCCTTCACCTATTTTGTGTTGACCACCATAACAAGATGAGCTGAAGGCCAGCAAATGAACGGCGATAAGAAGTGACAATTGCATGGCTCTGAAATATCTAGCTAGTGACTTTATGTGAAGTGAAGGGAAGAACACGAGCATACTGCTGAACTGGGGAGCTGTGATTACACTCATGCAGAGAATTTATATATTGTGCTAAGAAGTGTATCTGGAAAACTGAATGCTTAAAGGCAAACCATCTTCTAAACATTTGTATAGTTCGGACAAAAGAGTAGCAGTTTCTCAGCAAATGTCACTCAAAATTTCTTTGGCTTGCACGTTTTAGCTTTTAATAATGTTCGAAAGAAGCTGTTTCTTTGGTGGTTTGATCTTGCATCAATTATTCGTTGCTAGCATTTCCCATGCCGCATTCTTCAACGCCCGTAGGCCTGTACATGTTCATTCCCGATTCACGCCTAGCTAATTCATAAGAGTGAATAAAGAAATCGCTTAATCATTATTTGATTTTAGCGCGTTCTCGTGCATTAATTTTCTCATATCCGTATACAGCTTATGGCTGTGTAGGGCTTTGTGAACAATTCAGAGGCAAAGCTTGTAAATCTTAGAATTGGTAATTGGAGTTATTTTGAGTGAGTTGACCGCGAAGGCCATGGAGCGATGGACTATAAGCATCAATTCATCCGATTAAGAACTACAGTGCTGGCCTTAGCTATAGATCCACCCTAAGAAATCACGATAATTTGCCCTGTCTTGGATGAAATTGTCTGCAAAACCACAATTCTGTGTGTAAACTAAAGTTATATCATTGTTCCAAAACGGTTCCAAATTTCTTTGATTTTTGGCAGGGGAAAAATGGAAAATCTAAAAAACGGTTTAAATCTAGTCACAGCCATAGAGCCACCCCCTATTTCAAAGCAATACTACATTCTTTGAGGCTAGAATTTTTTCTGTAGATTTGCAGCATCAAAATATGAAACATTTGTTACATTATGGTGCTGTCATTTCCTGAAAAGGAAATTTATACTGCATTTTATACTTTAAAGTGCATAAAAGTCTGTTCAAAGAAACCGTTAGTTTATTGAAATTTCAAGCACATGCTCAACTCGGATGAAGGCGCTAGGATTCACTGAGTCTTTGCAACGAATGCGGTAAAAGGAGCTTGAGTCAACTTTGCGCAGTCGCTAATATCGATGGGCGAGCCTCTACCTCAACTTCGGGTAGACGAGCTTCCAAAAACCAGCATTCAGGTTCTAATGCCTGAAAAGCTCTGCAATGTGCTCAGTACGTCGTATGTACAACGATAAAGTCGTGCGCATTGTCGGAACCTCATCGCAACTATTTAACATTCAATTTCGCCCCGAGCGCAATTCTTTCATGAAAGGCTAACTCTACGTGATTATGACCCACTCTAACCACTCGACCGGATGAAGACCGCTCAAAAGCTTAAAGTTTAGGTCTTTCTAGCAATTGCGTAAGGTTCGATTTTTGATGAGGAGTTGAAAAAAGTAGGATCGGACTCATGTCAGATCTACTGCCCACAACTGAGCTGCAAATAGCGCGACTCCGATTGCGTCTTTGCGAAGGTTCTGACAACTTTTGCATAAACATGTCATGACGCGAACAACGTGCCAACTTCCAATCAGAAGTCTTTGCGCTTAAAAAATCGAGTTTTGTTTTCAAAAGCGTGCTTACAAAAATGGTATGATTGAGGCTCGTTCATCAACATCAGCAACTACGCAAGGTTGACTTACTCAGACAATCGATCGGACCCCTCCGGCCGGACAGTCGAAATCTGCCAGAGTCGCGCCGGACCCAGTTGACCAATGAGAGCGGGGCGATTGGGCGGTCCCTTCTTGTAGGTCGCGGTGACATCACCGGCAGGCGAGTGGGACCCTTCTCCGGATCTGCTGCAAAGGTACGCCATTTCTGCTCCGGAGGTACGCCAGATTTGGCAGAGCCGCGGCGGAGAAATTTGCCCTTCGCGAGTCCGCCAGATTTGGACGAGCCGCGGAGCAGAAAATCGGAGGGATCCGGCACAGAAAATCGGAGGCCTTCGGCACAGAAAATCGGACCCCTCCGGCACTGAAAATCGGAACCCTCCGGCGGGGTACGCAATCAATTTGCTGTGATACGCAGCTTAGCATTTTCGAAAATAAGCTGCCATCGCTCTCGTCTTACTCTCTTTCTCTTTTTTTGTCGTTCTTTCGCGCTCGTTTCTCTGTGTTTTTGGTTTTTCGTGTTCCTCGTCGGCGCGTTGGCGTAATTTGTTCACCTCCTTCTTTTCAGGTTTCAATTTTTAGGTTTTCGTGCGGATGCACTTAGTCACTCTTAATGTTTGGCTCTTTTCGACTTGCTGAGACATTGTTGACTATTGATGGAGTGGTATTTGTGATCAAGGAAACAAAAAGGTTAGTCTGTCGCATTCTTGCTAAATGTAGAGGTGGTTATTATCTCATTGTATTGATGGAGTTGTTCTCTATCTACAATGTCTCTTGTTCTCTATCTGCTTATGTGAAAGAGGTAGCCTTGTACATTTGGACACTTTATTTATCTGGTCAATCTGTGTACAGCGTGGTCCATATCCTTTTGGAGTTGATCCCATCTGGAACAAATCCGCAAATATTGTTCCTCGGCTGCATTTTCATCTACTTTTGTGGACAGATGGTTGTCAAGTGGTTCTTTTCCGTTGAAAAGGGCGTCGTGCTAGGAATGCAATATCCCGGTATGCAGCTTTTCACCGAATTACATTTTATAATGTCAGAATGTCAAAAAATGATGATGTCAAAAAAATCTAGGTCCAAATTGTGCACCATCGCTGCTTATTGGTTTAATCAACATGTTTATGTTGAAAGAAAGGCCAGTGGGCCATTTGATGGAGCACAACACCAGTGGCATCCGTGCTTTACAGGATGATTCGGAACATTTGATCGCTATTGATCGTTATCTACGTGAACACTCATTGAGTGATGCTTTCGTGCACCAAGCTATTCATGCGATCGAATTTGTTCTTGGTTGTGTGTCACACACAGCATCATATCTTCGATTATAGGCGCTAAGTCTTGCACAGGCTCGTGAATTATTCTCAGACTGATTAGGTTTTGTTATCTGAAGCGAGTGTCATCCAAGCCAAGTAGACAGTTAACTCATTCTCTAGAATTTTCTCTTCTTTTCCATGCATCGCAGTACTCCTGACTTCTTTTGATGATTTTTTGTCGAAGTGATCTGAAGGACATTTCTGTCGCGGTTTTTCATTCGTTCTAGCAGCATTTTTAGAAGTGATTGTTAATCGTCGTTGTTAGAAGAATAGGAGAATTGTGTTGTAAGGAATTCTTGCTAGAACTACCGACGGGGCGTCGTTAGCTCAGTTGGTAGAGCGTTAGACCTTTAATCTAACGGTCAGGGGTTCGAGTCCCCTACGGGGCTAACTTTTTGCAGCACTTCAGAACTACTGCGTTTTTTCTGAAATGTTCTTGATATCATATAAGTCTGTGGATTTCATTACATTCCATTACATTTGAAATAAATGTTTCGTCTTGTCTTCATTCTTCTATTTTCTATCTACAAACGCTAGGGGTGAGAGAGAGAGGGTAGAGTACGGGGGTGAGGGTCGCGCTGAAGTCCTACCCGGGGGGGGGGGGGAGGGGTCGTATTCGGCTTATTTGGGTGGGGTTTAGAGACATAATTGGGGTTTGGAGCTTATTTAGGGTTAGTTACAGTATGCCGCGGCAGACTTGCGGAGCACAAAATCGGGGGGCTCCGGCGCACAAAATGGGAGGGGTCCGACGCACAAAATCGGGGGGCTTCGGCGCACAAAATCGGGGAACTCCGGAGCATGAGTGGCAGACACCCCGCTGGGGAAACCCCGCGGCCCTGCCATTTCTCCGCCGGAGGGGTCCGATCCGCTGTCTGAGTAGGCGCAATATAACGCATTCATTGTAAAGACTTAATGTCTTCATCCGAGTTGAACAACTTGAAAACTCAGCGAATTCGCATTTTTCAAAACGATGTGACTTGTGTTCTTTTATAGGCGAAAAAAGGAGTATTAATTTTCTCAAAAGTGGACATAGCAAATGTTTTACGTTTTATGCTGCAAAAAAATTCTAGACTTGATGAATGTAGTAATGCCTGAAACAAGAGGTGACTCTACAGCTGTGACCAGCCTTCTAAACAAGTTTTTTTTTCTTTCTCAGTTTTTCTCCGGCCGAAATGAATAAAATTGGGAGTCGTTCTGATCAATGATATGAGTTACGCACAGAATAGTAATTTTTCAGTTTATTTCATCAAGACAGGGCAAGCCACCGTGGTTTTCTTGAGTGGTTCTACAAATAGCTATGCTCAGCACTGTATTTTCCAGGTAATTTTTATTTTACCCTAATTTCACGCGTACAAGGCGCGGGGGATTTTTTTCTAAAATCCGCCAGCCCAAACACGCCACAACACTTCGCGACCAAAGAACCCTATATCGGGCTCCGTATTGCTTGAGAGAATTGAACGGTTTAAGGTTCGCTTTCCGAAACAGGTTGAAGCGGTTGAGCGGCTTGTTTGAATCGAAAAAGGTGCGCCTTGTACGCGTGAAATTAGGGTATTTTATTTACAGCGCGAGGCAGGCCACGCTCAGACAATCAAATGAAGCACTTAGAATATTTTCAGTAACAAACAAAACAAAACAAAGAGACACCCACCAAGTCCGCTCAAGTCCAGCTCTCGAATAATTTTATGAATAGAAAAGAATTAAGCTTGTTCAAACTATGGATAAAATCGTATCATTGGGGTAAAGGCTCAATGGACTCTGTCTCATGTCTTGTCTTCTGCTTATAGCAAACGTGCTCTTTAATTATTTAACATAAGCAACAGTTTGTGGGGAGAGCAGGTGTATTAGGTCACCTAATACACCTGCTCCCATAAATGCGATAGGTGGAGCAATTTCTCTACCTCCCTTCACTTTTGAGCCGATATTTGGATGACCTCCTTTACCTGAGATTTGGGCTAGGGTTAAGGCATAATGGCAGAATAAAACACCTATGATAAATGGTGCTTGTGTTTGGGACCGCCAGCTGTTGCTTCTTCTCAGTCAGTGCATGACATGACTGAACTCTCATAGCGTTGCGAGAAGATCGAAAGCTCAAAATCTTGTATCATTCAGAATGGTTAATTTTGATAGCGAAATGAACCTAAAAAATTTGGAAGTAAAATGATTCTTGATTAAGCAACAACACTGTTCATCAAATATATATTGTCGCAGGGAAGAATTATGCAAGAGTTGGAAGAGTCTATCCAATGATGGATGTATTTTCAGTGAGAAAAACCGACTTATATTTTCTTTCGGAAAAGCATGACAGAGGATAAGAGAGCATTTGAATTCCTCAATTTTAGAGCTTTGCATTCACATGCGGAGCCTAGAAAACTACCTTTCCGTTTCAAGAATAAAGCGTGAAATATTCACCAAATTAGCTGATATTGTAATTGGATAAAACTTCTCATATCTAGCTTCGCAGAACAGCTAGGAAAAAAGATACAGAGTAAGTTGACTCTTCGTGCTTTTAGCTATCGAATGGTATATATCGTTGGTGCATTGAGCATTCCCACTCCAAAAAAGTTTTGCTCCGGCGACCCATGAAAGCCAAGCCTTTGAGGGGGCAGAGTGAAGCAAGCTAATAGTGAATATCTCCACCTCACTTTTAGAGATCCACTCTGCTTTTTCACTAACATTCTATAGTGCGGAAAAATACTGTCCCTCCAACTCTTGGCTCCTGAAATATCTCAAGCATAGAGGAAATCTGTAGTTTTTTGATTCCTATATGTAGGCGAGGTCCTTGAGATTGAGGTATGCTTGATTTGAAACTTTCCTTCTGTGCGAGCGAGTGATAACAGCGCGCAAGAACAATAGCGATGCGCCGACAGCATGCAAGCGCGACTTTGAACCGTAGCTATGCTACCAGCTCTGATATAAGGTTCAAATTAAGCTGCTATGCTATTCCAGCGATATCGCCCGATTTGGCCGAAATCTGGCGATATCGCGTCGCAAGTTTGGAACCAGCGACGGGGCGATATCGCTGAGATTGAGTCTCTTTCCTGGATGTTTTGGAAGAGTTCTTTTCTCTCTCGACTTGTTTTTTGCGGAGAGGAAGAAAGGTGATGCAGAATTCTTAAATTGCACCTATTTCGTACTGTGATGCCCGTCATGCTTCTAATTCTTGCTATCAGTTGAAGTAATCATGGATATGTATCTGTAATTTGTTCGAAACTTCTAATTGAGTAATGCGTGTAGTCCGCTTCTTGTTTACACTTTTGATTCAACTGTTGCGCAGTTCCAGCATGTTTTTATTGTTGTAGAAGTCATCTACGGAATACAATTATATTAGGTGAGAGCCTGTCGAGCTGTGTTATAGGGTTTTTGAGAGCTTATGAGATGCTGATTTACCTTCGAAGTTGATTCTTTTGGATGTTCCATTTGGCATAACTCGGCTGCAGCACAATGACGAAAGATTTCCTTGAGCAGGTGGTGTAAAAGTTCTCGTCTTTGACGTCTTTGCAAGCACCGGGTTCTCTGCGCGCCGGTAGAGCATTGAGTTATCAGGCGTGTCCTAGATATTTACAACAGTTAGCATAGTCGAACAATGGACTATTGACATTGCAGTGTGGCTACGCGTCTACGTTTTGATACAATCATTTAGGGGCAGGCAGATTCATCAAATCAGCAAACCAAGGTAAACGTGAGTACTGCATAAAGCAGTGGCGTGCCGAAGCCCCCCCCCCCGCCGAGAATGGGTCGCGAAAGATTGAAAGTTACTTAAATGTGTTATAAAAATGTGCAGAGGATTGTTTGCACTTGTAAATAATTAAAATAATTTTTAAATCTTTTTAAAACTTCAAATTAGCCTTGTGAAAAAATTTTTTTCGGAGGCGTGGTTGCCGTCACGCCCCCTTTTTCTAAAATTTTGGGGTCAGGGGCCCTGAAAAATTTTGGGAAACATCCCAAAAAATTTTTCGGAGTGCGTGGGTAATGCCACGCACCTTCACTGATAAAATTTTTTTGTCGCGCCCCCTCCCCCCTCCCCCCTTCGAGCCGACATTCCTGGGTGCACTGCTGGCATAAAGGTCTACGTAAGATGTATGCTAAAATGTGTAATTGCACCCAATCGCTGGACGGTACGTCCAGAACCTGCGATGAGCGACTTGATCGTCGCGATTTCGTCGCTACAATCACGAAATTCTTCGGCGATGAAATCGCGACGATGGACTCGGTACGTATGGCCAGGGCTTTATAGCGTAAAATTAGGGTACTATATCAAAAGATGCCGCCATGCCCGTTAAGTATTCTGTATGTGGAAATGTGCATAATCAACCTCAGACTAAAGTAGTGATTCACTTTCTGTTGGAGTTCATTAATTGTGCTCACTTTTTCATCTTCCTGAAAAAAATTGTACTAATAAACATGCATGCATAAATGACAACCAAAATAACCAAGTGAATAACACCGATACATGCAAACATTAGTTTCTTCATGAGCTTAAAGGCAGCGTCCAGGCAGATCTGGACCTATGGGCTTTTACGTGGAAAGTACTTTTGGGGCCCTAACTAAGGCACTGCCCAAGCGGCAGCTCAGGTAGTGCTGTAATAGCTGAGATATACCCCTCGAAACTGGACCCCGCGACCGTGTTTCGCATGGACTCATGGCGCAAAGCGTGGATCCTGGCGCGAAACTGCCATGAATCCATGCGAATACGTTCGCGGGGGCCAGTTTCGAGGGGGGGGGGGGGGATATCTCAGCCATTAGAGCATTACCTGAGCTGCCGCTTGGGCAGTGCCTTAGTTAGGGCCCCAAAAGTACTTTCCACGTAAAAGCCCCACAGGTCCAGATCTGCTGGACGCTGCCTTTAACGTGGACGTATCTTGTTTTATCTTCGTTAAAGAAACTACCAAACAAAGAAAAAAGAAAGACTGATGATGCAATTGGCTAGAAAGCTGACATAAGCACATAATCAAAGACTACACTGATAATGCTTCTGGTTTTTTGGTGGAGCCGAGTAGTACTGCTCCTGGCTGCCT